CTAAGGGGGGCTATAGCCCCGGGCCTCACTTATTAGGGGGCCTCACCCGAGAGAGCACCATTCAAGAATACTTTTTAAACGCTAATGCAAGATCTTCTAGAAGATCTCGCTATTATAATCTTTCTTCCCGAAAGGCGCTTCTAGTTTTAATGAAGCAGTTAAGATTAAACTGTCGGCTTATTGTTAAGTTTTTTTTATGACACCAGAGGTGCTTGACTCATACGTTTATTCTCTTTTTTACATTTCTCGATAAACGAGAATGTTGCGTTCAGAGATTGGGACTAACGAGATCATCAATCAATCAACCCTTTTCCCTCACGCAAGTATTGTATTATAGTTGCGCCAACTATTTGCCAATAATTTGAAATACAAAATGAGCTATGTCTATACTACAGTTTGGGTATTTCTATTTTAAGAAATCCATCGTAAAAATAAATTTTCTGTTAAAAATAAAACAATTTACCAAAGAAAATATGTAAATGTATAAAAATTGAATACCCAAACTTTGTGTATTGAACTATATTAACTATATAATTATATTATAACTATAGTTTTTTTACACAAAATAATTTCTAAATAACATAAAAAATGTACCTACTTTTACTTAAAAAAATGTATGTTACATCTGATGATAAAAACACAGACTTTTTAACTCTGTATTATTTCAAATTTCTCATTATAAATATCTCATTATCAATAAGCCATAATAGATTTTTTTTTAAATAAAAATTAGGTATTCTAAATCAGTCAATCGAGATATACTTTTTTCGAGATATACGAAATATGAAAATAGAAATGAAAATAAGAACTTTATTGTTACATTCGACTTCGACGATTAAATATTCTAAATGATTTTCGAGCACAATGCTGGCTGAGATAATTTTTTTCATCGTAATTACTTTACAATCTTTCGAAAAAAGAAAGAAATTTCTTTCGTCTCCTCTTTAAACACATGAAATCAGACATGATTTCGAAGTTAAATACAGTTTTAGCTAAATGCAAAATTTCAATTAAACAATCATTAGAAGCAAATGGCATCTTAAAATAGTATTATTCCAACAAGCGAAAAGTGCAACAGTGCTATACGTGTGTTAGCGCGTGTCGCTGCGTCGCCGCGTCGGTCAACACTTGTATTGATTCGCGGAAAAACAAGGAGACCACGCGATGGCGATTTTCAATTTTATCAGTCGCGCCGCGCGACTGTGTGTGTGTGTGTGTGTGTGTGTAGACTGCAAACAGAAACGATCGTGCGTGATATCGCTTTCTTCTTCACGACTTTGTCGAAGCTGTATATTCAAGCGGAAAGTGTGCATATTATTGCTTAATTCCTTTTGTTGTGTGAAATTTCAAAATGTCGAGAAGATTTGATAGTGGAGCTCAAAAAAGGAAGCTGAAAAAAGAGAGAGAAAAGTTTCAAAATAAACTTCCGAAATTGACAGGATATTTTTCGTCAAATCAATCAAACTCGCAATCAAATGAGCAAGGACAATATACCCAAAATGTGGACTATGAAAACGAAAATATCGAAAACTACCCTACTTATAATGAAATTAAGACTGGAAATGAAGATATCGTTTCAACTGAAACTAGTCATACAGATAAAACTGAAGGTTCTTCAGTCATAACGACGGAAACGAATGCAGGTTATGCAGGTATATTTTCACAATTGATTAACTATTCCTAAGATAATGGACACAACAAAATCATATATTTGTATTATTTAAAGAAGATATTATTTATATTTTTATATTTAAAAAAGAAAAGTTTATTTTTCGTATAAAGATATAACCAAATCTGTAAGTATATATTATTTATTATACATATATGTTTCAAAGTAAGTAGGGTAACTAGGCGGTTTCTAACTCATGCGCGTGTTCTGACTCATGCGCGTGTTCTGGCGAGGGGACCGCGGGAGGGGGTCCGCGGCGGTCCACATCTAACAGATATCGCCAGAGATGTTTATACGCAATGGATACCCTTTATTAGCGCCGACACCCGGCTGCGTATTACATCGAATTCTAATGAAAAACTAAAGCTAGCAGTTCACGATCGACAAGTTGGTTTTTTTGGAAGCACTCGCTAGCGCGTATTATTTTCGATACATTTCTATTATCCGATACAGTGGACGCAATATTAGAAAAATTGTATGATTCCAGCCGTATGAGCATGTCGTTATTAAGCATGCTAAATTGCACCGTCAGCGGTCCAACAGCAATAGAATATCCCCCCTCGCTCCGCACTCCCCTTGGAGCTCCTGGGTTAGAACCCGCCTCTCTATACTACTAAAGTATTTTTATTTTTACTTTTAGATGTCTTACAAAAAGATCCTGCTTTATGGCCACTGAAATTAGACGAAAATCAGCGTGAAAAATATATAAATGCAGGATACTCAATTTTCCAGAATAAGAACTCTACTTTTAAGTCTTCAAAACGAGAGTACTTAAAACAAAATAGATATTTTTCTCTTAAGTATTTTCAAAGACAATTGAAAAATGGCGAACGATGTGATCGAAAATGGTTGATGTTTTCTGAATCCACTGGAAACGTATTTTGCTACGTTTGCAAACTGTTTTCAAAGGATCATGAAAATGTGTTTGTGAAGAATGGATTCTCTAATTGGAAAAAAGCCGACGAAACGATTTTCAGTCATGAAAATAACAAAGAGCATAATCGATGTACGGTGGATTACATTAATTTTATGCAAAAAAATGCACACGTCGATAAAGATATGTTTAATAAAATGCAATCCGAGATTAAATATTGGACGGAAGTATTAAAAAGAATTCTCGCCGCTATCCGATTTTTATCCGAAAGAGGTCTTTCATTTCGTGGCACTAATGAAGTGATTGGATCATCAGATAATGGGAATTATTTAGGCATATTAGAACTGATCGCTGAATTTGATCCTTTTTTGAAACAGCATATAAATATGTATGCAAATAAAGGTAGGGGGAACGTTTCCTACTTATCAAAAACTATTTGCGAAGAATTTATTGAATTATTGTCTAGAAGGGTTCTAACGCAGATTAAAAACGAGATCAAAGAATCTAAGTATTGGGGTCTCGTTGTCGATTCCACTCCAGACATTTCGCACGTAGATCAACTATCTGTGATATTTCGGTATTATTTCAATGGTCATATTCATGAACGATTCTTTTGTTTCTTACAAATTACAAGCCATAAAGGCAAATCATTGAGTACCGAAATATTACAGTTACTTGAAGAACACGATATAAATATAGCTGACTGTCGAGCGCAAACGTATGATAATGCCAGTAATATGTCTGGCAAATACTCCGGCCTACAAAGTTGTTTAAAAGAACAAAATAAATTGGCATTCTACGTCCCTTGTGTTGCTCATTCTTTAAATTTGGTCGGAGAATGTAGCGTTGATGAATGCATTTATTCTAAAAATTATTTTGGTCTTTTGCAACGACTGTATTCATTTTTTGGCGCTTCAACGCATAGATGGAATGTGTTAAAAAATCAAAATAACTCAAAACTGACAAGTTTATCAGCTACCCGATGGTCGTGTAGAGCTGATGCTTCCAAAAATTTGATTGAGAATTTCGACGGAATTTATGAAGCTCTGTCTTCCATAGCGGAAGATAAAGACCAAAAGTCGGACACTCGACACGAAGCTACATCTTTGTTAAACAGCATGATCAAACTTGAAAATGTATTTATGGCTGTATTTTGGCATCGTATTCTCAACCGATTTAATATCGTTAGCAAGTTTCTTCAACAAGTTGAAATAGATTTGAATACAGCTAGTAACATGCTTTTTTCGTTGATCGAATTTGTGAAAAATTTGCGAGACGAGTTTTCAAAACTAGAAAGCGAATCAAAAGAACTTAGTCAATTTGTCAATCAAGAATATTCTAACGCAGATAAAAGAAGAAAAACAAAAAAGCTATGCAACGGTGGGAAAGAAATGGAAACATTAGAAAAATCTGACAAATTTCGAATCGAAAACTTTTACACAATTATCGATAAACTTATAATTGAACTACAGAAACGGAGCGAAGCTTATAGCCAAATAACAGGGTTGTTTGGGTTTCTCACAAAACTATTAAATATTAGCCGCGCTGAGATGCAAGTAAGCACTAAAAATCTTGTGGAGGTTTACTTTCAAGACTTGGAAGAACAATTGATGGATGAATTGGAACAATTCATACCGCTACTAAAATTACAACCTGAGGGTTTTTTCTCAAATCGAAACGGAAAAAATGATGATCTGTTAAATCCCTTAAAAGTTTTGAATTGGATAATCAATAGCGATATGATTGATGTTTTTCCAAACGTTTGTATCGCGTATCGTTTATTTTTGACTACTCCTGTCGCAAATTGTGAGGCCGAAAGGTCGTTTTCGGTTCTAAAAAGAATAAAAAATTTGTACAGAACGACGATGCTTGATAGTCGTCTATCATCTTTGGCGAGGTTAGCTATCGAAACAGAGTTGCTGAGAACTCTGAATTTCGACGACGTTATTAGAGAATTTGCGGAGAAAAAATGTCGAAAGAAACATTTGTAAATAAACTAAATGTGTTTAAAATTTCACTTTTATTTTATTGCTAGCATGTATTTTTATAAAAGCTTTATGAAAAAAAGAAAATTGTTTTCTACACCTTTTGTACAAAGAGGGGCGTACAAAGTTTGCCCCCCCCCCCCCGCTTTTTTAATAAAGGGCCTCCACGGAGTCAATAGCCCCGGGCCTCAAAAACGTTAATCCGGCCTTG